GGGAGAGGGTGGGGCTTCCTGAGAGCAAAGGATTCAGGGCATTGTGTAGGGAGGTTAAGTCTGGGCAGTTTAGGTCTCCACCCTCTTTATCACTAAGACTCCTCTGGGAATCCTTCAGTCTCCTCTTGATCTGAACTTCTCTTTCTCCTGCAGACCCTAAGGCCCCGGATGTGTACGACTTCTTCCTCCAGTGGATTGGTGAGTGGGCACTTGCCTCCCTGTCCTTGGTGCTGGGTGAGCAGGATCCTTCCCTGCTCCATCTCTCCCTGCCCAGTCCCCATGCAGATAGTTATTCCATTCACTGGACCACCTGGCCCCCAACTGCACATTCTAATCTCAGCTGCTCAGTGGAAGATAGGGGTGGGGGGTGCTCCGGGCTCCTGGGGAGGTGAGGCTCTGCCACCTTCTCCTGTTAGGGGTGTCTTCTTCCCTGGTCAGGCAGAGCAGAGGCTCTGGACATTGTGTCAGAGTGAGAAACAGCTTTCTGGAGGAGATGGCACTTGAGGTGATCCCAGGAGATTTTATTGGTGGTGCTAACTAGGACAAGGGCCTGAGGAAAGGAGTGGTGGTAAGACGGAGGCTCGTGTCACCAGAGGCTGTGAGGATGGGTGGCTGGAAGGCAGAGCTGGGTCATGTTGTTACGAGGCTGGGCAGGTAGGATAGTGGTGGGATTGGGTGGGGCAGCGTGTGCTTGGCTCCAGGCTGCCAGGGGTGGGGCAAGACTATGTGAACTGACTGGCTCCTCTCTCTCCCACCCCTTCCCCAGGGAAAGGCTTGCTGGTCCTCCACGGGCCCAAGTGGTATCAGCACCGCAAGCTGCTCACTCCTGGCTTCCACTATGATGTGCTGAAGCCCTATGTGGCCCTGTTCGCTGAGTCCACACACGTCATGCTGGTGAGCTCCCTGTGCTGTGCTGCAGGGCCAGCCCCTCCCCACCCCCAATTTTCCCTGGGGGAGGGCAGTGAGGAGAATTGTTGAGGCCCTGAGGCCCGGATCTGCCAGCAGCCTTGCTCTGCCTGATACCTGCTGCATGCTGGGGGCTGACGAGGGGCTGAGGCTCCAAGTGGCCAGAGAGCCCTGGCTCTAGTCTCCACTAAGAGACCCAGTCCTCCCTCTTCCCAGATCGAAGGGCTTCTGTGAGACTCCAATAAATCTCTTACTGTAGCAAATCTGAGGGCAGCCTCTATTAGAGAATATTAGGAAGATCTGTCATATCTAAAGGGATTCTCCTCATTCTTAGCTTAGCACAACTGCCTAAAATAGCATCATCAGCAACTCATCTCTAAAAAGGATGCTGGGGCCAGGGGTCAGGCTCAGAGTCTCAGGGCTGGATAATCTCCAGAGGCTACCCAGGCCAGCGTTCCCCCTTGCAGGAAACTTCTCCCCAGCATCACCGCGGGCCTGACTCACAGACTGTGCAGGGGAGCGCAGCACTCCTCGGCCCTCCTCTTCCTGGGGGAAAGCGTCCGTGTGGGCTGTGTGAGGCCTGCCTTCTGGTTCTGCCCTCGGACCCTGAGGCCCTTTCCCACACCGCCACCCCATTCCAGCAGGATGGAAGCCACCCCAGAGACGAGGGGTGCAGACGAGGGAGGGAGGACAGGCTGTGGGTCCTCTCCCCATGCACCCAGCCCAGCTGCCCCACCCCCCATATTACCTTCCATCTCTGGGCTCCAGGACAAGTGGGAAGAAAAGGCTCTCAAGAATAAGAGCTTTGACATCTTCAGCGATGTGGGCCACATGGCGCTGGACTCACTCATGAAGTGCACCTTTGGCAAAGGGAACATCGGCCTGAGCCACAGGTCAGGGGGCCCTTATGGCTGACTGCGGTCTCTACCCAGGCCAGCTCGAAGGGGAGAGGTGGCAGGACTCTAGGCCCCTGGTCTGAGAGGAGATAAGGTCCTACCCTGGGGAGCCCCACTCAGATGGAGCCAGGCCTTTTCCATGGCTTTAGTGGGAGGCTTAAATGGCATGGAGAGTTCGGGCAGAAAGTACTGTGGTTGAGGCTGGACTCTGAAACAGAGCCACTCCGGGATCTGCCGTGGATCAGTGTCCGAGCATTCCTCCTCCCTCTGCTGTGCAGTGACAATAGATATTACCTGGCGGTGAGCGATCTCACTCTGCTGATGCAGCAGCGCATCGATTCCTTCCAGTACCATAACGACTTCATCTACTGGCTCACCCCGCACGGCCGCAGGTTCCTGCGGGCCTGCCAGGTGGCTCACGACCACACAGGTAGGCTTTTCCTGCACAGCCCGCACACAGGAAGCCAAGGTTCTGGTCCCTGGGGGGCCCCTCCCATCACAGGCTCTCAATTCCCCGTCAGACAGAGGGTGGGTCCCCAGGCAGTGACATCCTGTGCTCCTGGCCTAGACCAGGTCATCAGGGAACGGAAGGCAGCCCTGCAGGATGAGAAAGAGTGGAAGAAGATACAGAACCGGAGGCACCTGGACTTCCTGGACATCCTCCTGGGGGCTCGGGTGAGTGCAGTGTTGCCCACTCCTACCTGAGGACTGCCCAAGAGGTCTTCAGACCATCCTTCTGGGACAGGGCTCACCAAACAGCAGCAGGGGCTGTTAAGCACTTTCTTCCTCTTTTCCCTAGCAAATATGACCTGTTCCTTGTCCCATGATACCTGTCAGCAAAGGCTCACAGGTGGGAAGGTGCAGGGTGTGGCTGGCTCTGGCACTGGAGAGAGATGTAGTAGCAGGGAGGCGGGGTCAGATGCCAGAAGGACGGAAGACCAATTCAGGCTTCTGAAATGCTGAAGAAACTTAGCACCTTAGGATCTTAGTTATACATTTACTCATTCATTCATTCATTCACTTATTCAGTTGGTCCTTTACTCACTCCACAAACTCATTGAGCCCTACCCTGGGTTAGTTCCCAACGCAGAAGATGAGAAAGCCCTGGCCCTGCCTTCTGGATGCTCACAGTCTAGTAGAGGAGGCAGGAGGTGGACATTGACAAAGATCTCTTCCCCCTCCAGGTGGCATTCTGTGTGTCAAATGAGCAGGGCTTACAGGGCTGGGTAAAGTCATAGGTCACTTGGCCACAAGGATCAAAGAAGGCTTCCTGGAGTAGGAGGCATCCAGGCTGGGCCTGAGAGAACAAATAAGAATCTGGGGGAAGATCCTGACCCCAGTCTGAAAAGAAGCTTTCCCTCCCTCCCTCGGACCTTCATTTGACAACTACCATTATGAGTCCTTGCTGGTACCTACCTCAGATGCCTTGGGCTGTCCCATTGTGCCTCCCGACCCAGGATGAAGATGGGATCAAACTGTCAGATGCAGACCTCCGGGCCGAGGTGGACACATTCATGTTTGAAGGCCATGACACCACCACCAGTGGCATCTCCTGGATTCTCTACTGCATGGCTCGGTACCCCGACCACCAGCATCGTTGTCGGGAGGAGATCCGTGAGATTCTTGGGGACCGAGACTCCATCCAGTGGTGAGTGAGGCTGTAGGTGAGCCCAGTCTGTCCTGCTCCCCAAAGACAGGGCAGGGCTGTGCTTATGATGTCTGGTGTCATCTGTGACGACACAGGGCCATCCTAGAAACTAGGTGAGGGCAGAGGCCCTTGTCCTTTTCTCTCCAATGCTGTAGCTTTTAGGGGAGCTGTGTGTTGACACACCCCTGAGCCCAGTCTCCCACAACGGATCCTTTTCAGATGTGAGTCATGTAGAGAAGGCTGATTTCTCGTGTGCTGACTTCCTCTGATGGCAGAACCTGACTACCTTTCTGGGTTCCTGGATAGAGCAGGGAGCGTTGGGAGAGAAAGATTTGGAAACTGGGGATGAACAGAGCTAGGGTAGCCCGGGGAGTTGATTCCCTCCCACATAGTCTTTGGATGGCCGTGTGCAGCCTCGAGACTCCTCTGATGAAGAAGAAAAGGCTGTTTCCCAAACTCCATCACTTAAAAATTTTTGATCGTTTTTGTTTCTTGGTTCAAATGTGAACTCATTAACATGACACTGATTGAGGCTAACCTCTCTCTGCAGAATGACCTTTGGCAGTCTCCCACAGGCTCCTCTCCCACCCTCATGCCTTCTCTTCCTGCCTTCTCCCCTCAAGGCTTCGGGTCCTGTCAGCTGTTTCTCTGGGCTCCTGTGCTACCTCCAGCCCGGGGTTAGGGTGCACACAGCAGGGGCACAGAAAATGCTCAGCTGAGGGGACAAACTCTATTTTTTATTGAAGTATAGTTGCTGTACAAAATTATATAAGTTACAAGTGTACAACATAGTGACTCACAATTTTTAAAGATTATACTCCATTTATAGTTATTATAAAACATTGGCTAAATCCCTGTGTTGTGCAATATATCCTTGTAGCTTATTTTATACCTAACAGTTTATACCTCTTAACGCGGGGAGAAATTTTAGATTTTCTGAGGGAGACTGACCTATAATTCCAGAATCTGGAATTTGAAGGATGTGGTTTTATTGGTTGGACGTTGGAAACCTCCTAGGGTGTCCGACCATGTGCCAGGTGCTGTTAGGGGTGTGGGTGAGGTGAGGAGGGTGAGGTGAGGAGAGGGAGGAGCCAAGTTGTTGGCCTCAGGGAATTTTTAGAAAAGCAAACTGACATAACCAGATATCTAGAGAAAACCACAGAATGGGGTAAGATTGAGTGGCCTCATGTCAAGGGCAGAGGAATCAAAAGGGCCGAGGCTTGAGCTGGCTTTCTAAGGGGGCTGGAAGCTCAGATCAGCAAAGGGAGAGCTGTGAACTCCACTTTGAGTGACAATGTGAACACTGCCCAGGAGCAGGGAGTTGAAACATTTATTGATTTTATCTCCGCTTCTTTCCATCTTGAACTTGAAGCAACTTAAAGGATACTTATGCAATAAAATATAGAAAAAATGAGGATGGGGGAAACCCTAGAGTTTAGGGCTCTGCAACAAGGTGTTGCACAGTAGTTATAGTTGGGCTGCTTTGGGGTCTGAGCTTCCTAGCGGCAAAATGGAGAAGATACAATAACTTCAGGAGGCATCATTCAGACAGACGACGATGCTGATACAGATACATTTCCACCCCACAACCCCGCCCAAGCTTGTCACTGTTTATGCATTTATTACTTCATTCGACCACTGTCTATCAGCCCCTGTTCCTTTCCATTCCCGCTCCGCAGGGGAAATCAAGCAGAACCTAAAGATCTATCCCTTGTGGGGTTTCTGGGGGGCCCTGAGAGACCCAGAAGTGACCTTGATGGCCAGCTGCACATACACCTTCAAGGTCATGTGCTTTCCCTTCCCAGCAGTGAAGATGAGGGAGGGGTGGAGAAAAGCAGAGCCAGAACCCCTGGGTTTGAGTGGCCACCCCACGTCCAGTCTGGCCTGGACACTGGGAGCTTGCACATCCCTCTGAGTCTCGGGTGTGTGGTGGTGGTGAAGCGGGTGTCGGGGCTGGGCCTGCCCTCCCGCAGGACCCTGTTGCTCCCCATCCCAGAAAGGCCTGGTTGTGTCGCCGGCAGGGATGATCTGGGGAAGATGACATACCTGACCATGTTCATGAAGGAGACCTTCCGCCTCTACCCGCCTGTGCCGCAGGTGTACCGTCAGCTCAGCAAGCCTGTCAACTTTGTGGATGGCCGCTCTCTCCCCGCAGGTGGGATTGGGTGGATCTGGGGGTGGAACTGGAGTCCTTGTGGATGCTCTCTGTACTTTTGCATTGGTGGGGAGAAGCCCAGGCTCTGCATTTGGCCTGTGTCCGTATCCTAGCACCACAGTGTGTGGGTGAATCCCTCTACCTCTAAGTCTCTGCTCTCTCTTCTGTCAAAGGAGGGTGAGAAGTGCTCCTGCCTTACAGGGTTGCTGTCGGGATTAAAGAGACAACATTCATCAGGGCTGTCATGTACCATTCTGAAGGTTGTGCCCTGAACAACTTCAGGAGGCATCATTCCATTCGACTATGATGCTGTGCAGTGTACAACCTGTACAACTGTATGTGGTAGCTTTGTCAGGAGTGTTTAACTCTGGATCTGGCACATAGTAAGCACCCAACGAGTGGTAGCTGTTACTACTGCTAGCATAACATCGTGAATAAAGACGTCTCTTGAGAGTCAGTTACTGGAAAATACAAAGTATGTAATAGTCTTTGCCTGTCCTTCCTCGTGGTGGATGGATTCAGCTCTCCTTTTTTTTTTTTCCTTTCTTTCCATTTTATAGATGTCTGTGTTGGGTGCTGTGCCCAGTGCTGGGTCTATGAGAAGTGGGTGTGAGATGATCAAAAGCACTTCGCTGTGTTGAGAGTGGTGATGAACTTTGTCACTGGCAGTGCTCAGGCAGGGGCTTGGACTGAGTTAGGGGGACACTGGAGGATTCTTGCTCTGTTAGGAGGCTGGCCTGGCTGTCCCAAGACCATCTGGTCACCAGACCTCTGCTCTGTCCACAGGCAGCCTGATCTCTCTGCACATCTATGCCCTCCATAGGAACAGTACAGTGTGGCCCGACCCTGAGGTATGCCATCCCAGGGCCCAGAGGTCAGATGGGGTGGGTGGCTGTGGGGTGAGCACCACCAGCCCTGGACTTGGCAGGTATTTAAGCAAGGCTTGTCCCCTCAGGTCTTCGACCCCCTGCGCTTTTCTCCTGAGAATATAGCTGGACGCCACCCCTTTGCCTTCATTCCCTTCTCTGCTGGGCCCAGGTAAGGAGAGCCCGACATCCCCGGTCCTCTGGACCAGGGAGGTGAGGATGAAGGATGTTGTGGGGGAGGCATAATGAGGGGGACCTTGTGGGGTGTGTGGTGATCCTGATGTAGGGGAAGTTCTAGGGACCTTCTCCTTGCCATTAGCACATTCATGTCCCTGGCCAGTGGGGTGGGTGAGTCATTCCAAGACAGACCCCTAAGCCACAGCTCACAATGTGAGTCTACCTGGTTTGGGACCCTCACCATGCTCCCAAGATCTGTTTCCTAAGCCCAGGCCAATCTCAATCAGTCAATTATTCATCCAAAAATAGTTATTGATTTCTGTTGGCTTTTGAGAGCATGGGATTTCATTACTCTAGGCACCCCACAGCCTGATGTCATTTTGTGTTGCTCACCGCAGGAACTGCATTGGGCAGCAATTTGCCATGAACGAGATGAAGGTGGTCACGGCCCTCTGCTTGCTCCGTTTTGAATTTGCCCTGGACCCCTCAAAGGTGCCCATCAAGCTGCCCCAGCTAGTCCTGCGTTCCAAGAATGGTATTTACCTCCACCTGAAGCCGCTGCGCCCGGGCTCTGGGAAGTAGCTCTGCAGAGAGTAGGGCCCCAGACTGCCCAGGCTGGAACTTCTCCCTGGGCCCTACCCTCTCCAAGCTGGGTTGTAGAGTAACTGTGCTCCCCTGTCTTCCCCAGGCTTGCAGATTAGTAGGGGAGTGCCATGAAAACATGTGTGTCTGTACATGCTTATTATGCATATATTCCAGAGCTCACTCATTCATTCATTCAACAAACATATGGTGAATACCTCCTTGCTGCTAGAATCTTCATTTATCCCCCATAATTTTCCATTGTCAGCGTCTGTGTCACAGTCACTTGGTGCACTAGGCACATGGGCTTTGGCTGGGGAAGGTGGCAGAGTTCATCAGAGGGAGGCTTCCCGGAAGAGATGGTGCTTGAATCAGGCCTTGAGGCACCCTGAGTAGGAAGGTGCAAAGAAGGACTTTTGGAGAGGGCCTCAGGCTGGGGCCACATGGTGAACGAGCGATCCTTCCCCAGTAGTCACTGCGGCAACTGCCTGATGTCTGGGGAAACATACACCAGGGTTCAAGTTGAAGGCCATTAGTGGGCTCCAATCCAGGAATTAGTCAGATGTGGAAGGGAGGGCACTGAACCCTGAGGGGAGGGGCAAGAGAGAGGAATTCTGGCCCTGGGACTTGGGGATGGCTTTATGTTGCCCTGGAGATGGGCCATCGGGAGACACATCCTTCCTGCTATTGACGCTTCCCTCTCGGAAGAAGGTCCCAGCCCTGGAAGGTTGACCATGGGCCACGTGTTCATTCCTGCAAAGCCCTGTCAAGGCCTGGATCTCCTTGCCCACCTGAGGTTGGGATGCACAGGCCTCAGCCAGAGTGTCCCCCATGCCACCAACTTTCCCCTCTGTCCTGGCTCTGAACAGACCTTTCTCTGCACAAGGGAAGAAATGTTTTCAATGAGCATCACCAGGGAGCAGAGTCCAAAATCATAGCTATCTCTGGCCCACAGATTTGTCACCCAAGTCTGAGATGTGTCTACTCGTCTCATCTCTGGATTGTCCGGAGGCCTGTGAAGCAGGACTGGAGGAGGCCATTACTCCTCGTCAATATTAAGAGAAGGAACCTGCCGAGGCACTCATCAGGGAGGAGCTTGAGCTGAGGCCTTGTGACTCTGGCCTCTTATGACTAAGATGCACGGGTAGAAGTGCGTCTCTTTCTGGGGCCATGTCAGTGGGAACCAGAGCTGAGAGCTCTGGAGCCAAAAATGTACAAGGCAATGAATTTCTAAAGCAAACTCCCAGGTAACCACAGCTGAGGTCAAGGAATACAGGGTATGGTTTCTCAGGTGTATCTTTTGTCTCACCTGAGACAGGTCCCTGTGGCACTCCTGCCATTGTCAGTGCACAGTGGTGACCGTCTATGTATGTGTCGTTGGCGGTGTGCATATGAGCATGAACATAGCCCAGGGATTTTCCACTGCCTGGAGCCAGCAGGATCACTTCTTAGTCACTCTCTTCACCCCTGTAAAATCTTGTGTTAAGAGCACACGTCCATGGCTGGCCACTCAGAATGTTAACTTCCCATGCTCTCATGCAATGAGCATGACAAGCTGAGCCCTTCTGTACCACCTGATACAGGGGACCTGCCAGATTTTCTGTCCAGGACTTTCCTGGCTAACTCTCCTGCCTTCCACCCTGGTCACGCACTGAATA